TTTCGTCTCTCATCCGAGAGACTTCTTCAGTCTGACTGAGGAAGTCTCTCGGATGAGAGACGAAAAGTTTTTATATTTTTTTGTTTTGTTTTGTTTTTTGTTTTTTTGAATGTCCAGAGGACCAGATTGAACTTTTTTGAATCTCCTTGATGTTTTCTCTGCTTGATGCATACCAATGATTTGACCCTTCTCAAACAGACTGACATCTTTTCTACGACCACGCGATGCGTCTTTCGACATGGTTGTTTAAGAAATGAGAAGCAACTCATTGCACCAGTTGGGGTTAAATAACTTGTTGCCAGCTGAAAGATAATCACCCATGCAGTAATTGTCCAATAGGAGGCTCGTAGCCATTTGCTTAAATCCAGGTGGTGACATTTTTTTTGGCCAGGCAGTGTATGCCACATGAAGAACAACCTGCTCATTTTAGGTTTATTTTAACTGTACAGTTCACAAAATTAACATTTGTGGAATCCACTAACATCAATGTAAGCATATGTATTTTACTACAGGTCATTGCCATGTTAGAAATGTTACATTCTTAAGAACTCAGTAACTTTGGTGAGGTTCAGAAGTCCCAGCTTTTCACCAGCCTTGAACGCAGCATTATCTTAGTGAATCTGGAGCAACAAGAAAGTCTCAGAAGTCACATTCACAGGCAAGTTGATCTGACCACAGCAGGTGATTTGTGCACGTGTTTTTGACAAATTGGACAAGCAGAATATTCATATTTGTACGGTTTGAAATGTGCACATTTGAAAATCTGTTTGTGTATTTATGAATCTTGTGCGACTACTTTTGATACCAATTTATCTTCAAATCATAACCACCTTTCCCCCCTCTGAGTTGAGTAAAACACTCGAGAGTCTCCTAACAAACTCAACAGACTTGAAGTTTGGAAACTTTTGTTTCTTAGACTGGAGACAGACATTCTCAATCCTACAAGGTCAAAAGTAAAATAAAAAAATAAAATTAAACCCATAAACTTAAGGGTTTGCCACAGTGAGGAAACTAACTGGACGAAACTATTTTTTTATATGACGTGTGAAGAGTTCCTGTCAGCGTACCTTAGGAGGCTCTCTGAACATCTGGTCCAGACAGATAAACTCCAGACAAGGTAGTAACTCTACAAAGTGAGAGAAAGACTCCAGTTTGATGGCGTGACAACGGACCAGCGTGAGATCAACGAGACGACTCCATCTGGATTGATCTGAGAACAAAACAAGCAGACTATTTTCTTACAGACACTTCACTCCGGTCCAGAATTCAGCAGTTTCTGACCAGAGGTTTACCTGTGATCCAGTGGTGGGGATTATGAAGGTGAGGACAGTTGTAGATGAGCAGATATTTAATATTAGTGAACACCTCGTTCACCACTTTTATGCCAATATCAGTAATGATGCCAGGGTTCTCCACGACGTCAGCCAGACCGTACTTCACCAGCTCCGAGTGACCCATCTTACCTGCATTTGAACAAGAGAACTTTCACTAAACTTCAAGCACTTCTACTGTTTAGGTTTCCACACAAGCACTTTGCCCATACTGCTTCACAATCAGATTTTCAAGCATATTGTTGCTGAAAAACGTATTTTTGCAAAGACATTCCAACTCCAGCTTTTATCCGTCAAAAGCCTTAGAGACAAATACAACCCCAACTCTGGAAAAGTTAGGACGTTTTGTAAAAATATAAATAAAAACAAAATGCATTGATAAGCAGATCTTAAACTCAAGCTAAGTAAAAGCATTAATGGCAATAGCAGAATTAGCATCAGCACGTAATCTTAACGTTAGCAATAGCAGAATAAGCATTAAGATAATAACTTTATTGAGCTCACAGGAAATTGCTGTGCCAGAGTAAGCAAAGCAAAAGCAATAGCAGACTTAGTGTTAGCATGTAATCTTAGCATTAGCAATAGCAGAGTTAGCATTAGCACATAATCTTGAAATTAGCTATAGCAGAGTTAGCATTAGCACATAATCTTAGCATTAGCTATAGCAGTAAGAGTACTAGTAGAAGAATTATTGTAGAATTTTTAGTTGTGAATTTCTTCCCCAAATGTGGAAAAAGGTTCTGTGGTCAAATGAGCCCAAACATCAGGGCCGTATCTGACACAAATCTACCGACTCTCAGCTGTGACAAACATTTTCATTGTGCAGCTCAAGGTACTCGTACACACTAATGTACACAGTATGTATGGTGATGGTTCTGTACAAATGCATGCACTGTCACAGCCTGCACTGTCTTCTCTCAGACTTGTGATTTAAAAAAGAAACTAACATTGAAGGAGGAACTCATCCACATATCCCAGCTGAAGCGTCTCAAACTGAGGAAACTCAAGTTCAGCCATTTTCAGAGCCGAGAAGACTCCGTCTTTAGTCAGTGAAGGCTGGATACGCAGCTCATGGAGCCTGGTAAAGATAAACATAAAACATTTACATTTATGACAATATGAAAAAAAAACAATAAAAATACTAAATCAGTAGATGGATAGTTGGAAATTTTAAGAAATGATTATTGAAAGTCTGTATCAGAGGTTGTGTTTATAGATTTAAAATTTATAAATGGACATTTCGGTGCCACTTCAACTAATGTTTGTTTGAAGAAAATGCTTTTCCTTTGTGACAGCACTTTTTGTAAAAAAAATAAAAAAAAACAATTTCTTCTCAAATGTTTACGTAATTTTACCTTTCAAGAATTTTGACTTGTAAATTAAAGCACAACTCAAAGTACAGAATTAGATTTTTTTTTTGCAGAAAATACATTGTGAAAGAAACTGAAAGTAAGATAAGGCCAGATGTAGCTAAACGCTACTCAAAGGCAAAAATACCTAATTGCTAGCTAAAAGTTAAAGTAGCAAATGGCAAGCTAAAACATAAAATAGGAAAAGCCTGATTAAATGCGAAAAGTAAAAAGTACTTGCAAAAAGTAACGGGATAATAGATCAGCAGAATTTTAGTTTATAACAAAAATTTACATTAGTAGAACTAACATTAGCAGGTAATCTTAGCATTAGCAATAAAAGAATTACCATTAGCGGTATTATTATTGTTTAATTTTTTAATTATTATATTATTAATATTATAATTAGCAGAGAAGTACGTATGAGTCTATGTGTAGATATGTGTGTATGATCCTTCTTAAAAAGATTGATTTGTGCAGGTAAAATAATGGTGACATCCTTATGTGGAAAAATACAACAAACACAGATATATAGATACACACATAAATGTATATACATATACATATATACAGTACCTTGCGAAAGTATTCGGCCCCATTGAACTTTTCAATCTTTTGCCACATTTCAGGCTTCAAACATAAGGATATACAATTAAATTTTTTTGTGAAGAATCAACAACAAGTAGGACACAATCGTGAAGTGGAATGAAATTTATTGGATATGTTAAACTTTTTTAACAAATAAAAAAATTGAAAAGTGGGGCGTGCAATATTATTCGGCCCCTTTACTTTCAGTGCAGCAAACTCACTCCAGAAGTTCAGTGAGGATCTATGAATGATCCAATGTTGTCCCAAATGACTGATGATGATAAATAGAATCTACCTGTGTGTAATCAAGTCTGCGTATAAATGCACCTGCTCTGTGATAGCCTCAGGGTTCTGTTCAAAGCGCAGAGAGCATCATGAACACCAAGGAACACACCAGGCAGGTCCGAGATACTGTTGTGGAGAAGTTTAAAGCCGGATTTGGATACAAAAAGATTTCCCAAGCTTTAAACATCCCAAAGAGCACTGTGCAAGCAATCATATTGAAATGGAAGGAGTATCAGACCACTGCAAACCTACCAAGACCCGGCCGTCCCTCTAAACTTTCATCTCAAACAAGGAGAAGACTGATCAGAGATGCAGCCAAGAGGCCCATGATCACTCTGGATGAACTGCAGAGATCTACAGCTGAGGTGGGAGAGTCTGTCCATAGGACAACAATCAGTCATACACTGCACAAATCTAGCTTTTATGGAAGAGTGGCAAGAAGAAAGCAATTTCTCAAAGATGTCCATAAAAAGTGTCGTTTAAAGTTTGCCACAAGCCACCTGGGAGACACAACAAACATGTGAAAGAAGGTGCTCTGGGCAGATGAAACCAAAATCGAACTGTTTGGCCACAATGCAAAACAATATGTTTGGCATAAAAACAACACAGCTCATCACCCTGAACCCACCATCCCCACTGTCAAACATGGTGGTGGCAGCATCATGGTTTGGGCCTGCTTTTC